AAACACCAGCTGCAGCCTGAGCTAGAGACACCACCTCCAAAATGTTTGCTACTCTACTGAATGCAAGCAAATGCTCATATGTAGGAGTTGTATCGGATGAGGTGGTGGCACCTTGGTGCACAAACTGATTTGCATCGAGACGAGTCCACTTATCTCCATACCACGTTCTCACTTGATCTTTGAATGCGTTTTCTATCACCTGGACTCTTACAGTGCTGAGTATACAAGAGCCGACACAAGACCACCCCGAACGTTGCAAAAGAGAAAGTAGACAACTTTTTGGGGGTGGAAGCGAGGCCAGGTGGGGTCTGACGTGAGTCCTTACACCGTGTGCGCGTTTCCCTGGTCCACGCCAGGCAAAATCCCATATTTCACTGAATGCTTCCGAAAACGGAAAGCGCTACATCATGAGGACCAACCGCAAACACAATGCTTATCTAATTGATATATCAAAATGTCCAACCCATCGTGATCTATTCTCCACTGTACGGACACAACCTTTTGACTCAACACCAGCTATCCAGAATGTCGTCCCCGCCTCTTCCAACGCCTTCAGATTCAGAACCACCTACCGCTCCTCAACAGTCAAGAACGATGCCTCGACACCTTTCTCCTGGACGATCACAAATTCCACCTTCACTTAGCCCTCAACCTCAACCAACTATGGTACCTCGATTAGAAATGCTACCAGAAAGTCGTTCTTCGAGTCCTTCCCTAGAGGCGGCGGTACTACACCAAGACGATACTCTCTCATCTTCGATGGACCCACGTCAAGAGGAGACTAATGCACAAGGCACAACGCTACGTAGTCGTCTTGCACGTCTCTCGAGAAGTGAACTAAATTTGGTATTGCGTGAGTTACTATCACGCCAGACTACTAGGCCAACCGCACCCCCGCCTTCGGACAATGCGATACTCTCGACCCCTCCCGATTTCAACGTCTTCCTGGACAACAACCTACTCCCTCTGATGCCCACACACCCTCTCTACCCATCCCTAGGAACAACATGCGGAATTTGCCAAGACCCCTTCCACGAGACACACGCTCCCGTATTGGTCGTCAAGGCACAAGGATGTTCCGGACATGTGTTCGGCTACCAGTGTCTGCGCAAGTCTATCTCAGCAGACACAGCAAATAGCAACAAATGCCCACTGTGTCGGACAACGTGGTTTGAAATATCGAGGCAACATCTGACAAGATTGGCGATCGTATGGGGAAGGATAGGCCAGGTGGAGAACAGGGTCATTAGGGACATCGAAGACGCTGAAAATAACACTGAGAGGGCTAGGTCAGCTATCGAAATCAACACGAGAGACTCCGTGCCTATTCTAGAGCACGAAATGTTGATTGCTAGAGGTCTAGAGCACGAACTGTTGCTTGCTAGAGACTGGGAAATCGGGATGGCACTTGCACTTGCGAGGGCCCAGGTGGCCGACCTTTCGGTGGTAGGAGACATGGCTCATCGGATGGAAATGTTGCTTGCTGGAGAAAGAGAGAGACAGCGAGATGGCAGCGGCGATTACTAGGATTCACGCGACTCTCAGGCCTAGTCCTCGAGGGACATTGCTTATGGCATGGCTTGTCTTTCTGCATGTACTGTTATTCGCCATTATAGCAAAAGGGATATGGGGCTAGAAAGACGAGATAGCCCTGTGGACCTGCAGAAGTATAAGAGGCTGACGAACAACATTGTTTTGCAAGCGACGAGGGAGAAGTCTGAGCTTTGGAGCGAACCACGTAATTAATGCGATGAGATAAGTTCGTAACTATGTAACATATGCACGCTCAGAATTTCATGTAATCAGTAATATGTAATCAGTAATGGAATTTTCTCCATGAAATTCTGTTACTGATTACATATTACTGATTACATGAAATTCTGAACGTGCATATAACATAAAGATATCCGTCCATCCCCCAGAACGCCATGCCAAAATAACAAACTATGCAACAAGTAAGCCCATGCCCGCCGTACTATAAAAGGACTTTTTCCGCGACCTCTCCTCCTCATCTGTCTAATCTCAAGTCTCAGACCACCTAGCAAGAGTAACACTAGTAGTGTACACCATGGCAACGACTCCGACAACCATCATAGTGACATCGCCGAACTTCTCCCAAGGACGGTTGGCCACGCCCTTGTAGTGCAAGAAAGCAGGGTAAATGTACACTAGAGGCACACAAGCAAAGCTTCCAATGAGCGCGACAAACTTGTCCAAGTCGCTAGCTCCAAGGATAGCAATGAGACCGCAGAGAATGACAAGACTAGTCCTGAAAGCATTCTTCTTCCACTTGGTCATGTTACTCTGCTTGCCGGATGCGCGGCCGAAGATCTTAAGCTCGATGTTACGCATAGCGGGGAAGAGCTGCACTGGTGTGCCGACCAGGACGGCCATAGAGTAGAGGAACTGGACAGCATTGACGAGCTTGCTAGACTGGGGGAAATTGGTAATGACCTCGACTGACACGTTCTCGCCAAAGGTTCCGTAGCAAAGCACGCCGACGGACGTGAAGATGACAGTGATGATGAGCATGACAAGGTAGAGGAGCTTGCTGAAGTGCTCGGGCTCCTTCATGCTGGACTGGATGGGAAGGATGAGCCCAATGCCCTCGAAGGTAAAGATGGCGGAACCGATGGTCATGGTGAAGTCACGAGGGTTGAAAAGCTCAATAGACGGGTGGAAGCCTCCCATCTTGGCGATCCACGAGATGTCGTACCAGTAGATGTATGTCAGACCGATGAGGATAAAGACATCGGCGAGAAGAGCGGCAGGTCCGAGCTTGGAGATGTTTCGGATGAAGGACATGGGTATCAGAACAGCAATCTGGATACCAATGAGCGCATTGGTTGAAAGCGGTTCTTCTGCATGAGCAACAGCGTCAAGGAACGATCGGAGATTGTCTGCCGTGAAGATAAGACCAGCGCATACGAAGCCAATTTGGGACAGCGTGATGGAAATCAGGATGAGGGCACGAAATCTCGGTCCCACGACAATGGAACCTAGATCACCGTAACCACCGCCACCATATCTCTTCCTCGTCGCCAACAGTAACTCGAAACACAGTGCGGTGATGGCAGATACCAAGATCATAGTAACGGACGAAAACAGCATTCCGCCGTTCTTGAAGGCTTTGGGCAGAAACATGATTCCGGTACCGATGAAGGCCTTCAGGAGAGTGAAGAAGGTCTTCACCTGGTCTGCGTCGCCCTGTTGCCTCAGTCTTTTCGAACTCTGTCGTCGTCCGAGAAGTGGTCTGCGCTCGCCTTGCGCCTCTTCCTCTTCATCGTCAATGGCAGACTCTTCGTCTGTATCTTCGTCAAGATCTTCACCAGCAAACTGGCCGTACAGCTCAAGGAATGAGATGAAGTTTCGCGTCACAGGCTCCGAGATGTAGCTGACACGCTTGCTTTGCCGCTGCAAGTATTGTCGTCTCAGTCCGCCGGGTGCAAGCTGGTCGCGAACGGGGAGTTCGTCATGGTCAACATCTGAAATAGACGGCGCACTGTTGCGGCCAAAATGTACTGCGTCGGAAAAGGTTGTTGCTCGTTGGTGCAACTTTTGCCGCCGGTTCTGTGCAGCGATTTTGTACAGATCACGATGGATATCGCCGCCCTGCAGCCGCAACGACGACTCTGGCATTTGACGATCGCCTGAGTTGGAAGCGCTGTCTGCGCCATCTTCCTGAGCCGGTGTTGCTGGGTCAAACTCTGAGAAGTCGTAGCTTGGGTCTAAATGCTGTTCGAGGACCCTGGCCTCCTTGGGATCGGCACCTGCAGTTGTCTGCGGCGTGTCGGTCATGGTTGCGATAGCTCGACGGATGTACAGATCCCTCAGTACTATGTAGATGAGAAAATATCGACGGAGCTACGAAACTTGGGCGTCTGGTAGCCTGGGTCTGGCGGTGAGGTCCGAATGATGGAACTAACGGCCAATCAGGATTTGCGAAGCTTAAATGGTCCGTGTGCCTGACATCACCGTGTTGTGATGTTTGCCGCTTGCAGTACGTTGTGACAGAGTAAGGGTATGAGAATGTGCAAGAGCAAACAGATGACAGTCACCACAGGAGAGGAGAGCTACTTGAAGCAAAACAAAGGACGAGAATCTTCGAAGACGAGACCGCGACGGACCTGGGAAAACATGACGATCGCGCTGGCGCCTTGGCACCGAAGCACCTGGGCACGTGTTGTGGAGAGCGTCTATCCCTGCGTCAGCCACGGAGTCATTGGCGCAACAACCGACCGCTGCCGCATCCTAGGAATTGGACCCCAAGATAGCCGTTTAATCAATACACATTGCCGGCAAAGCAGAGAAGCCCTTTGATCCGCAATTGACACGTTTCGTCCTTGTCGACGATAGCATAAAGGCAGGAGAGCATACTGTACGTGATGGCTGCCCAACAAACCCCTCAGATCGTCTCACCATGGCCCCTCCAGGATTCGGACCGCCAGGGTACTCTGTCCCGCAGCGCTACATGCATCGCGAACCGCCCCCAGAAGGGTCTGACACCAACACTCGACCCTACGCTATTTTCTTTTCCTATCTGTTAACATGTCTTTCTGTCGCTGTACTCATCATTTTGAGACTCTTCAAAAGAGCCAATGTGCTGCAAAAGTCAACAACCGCGCAGCTCCCGTCTAGATCACATGTCTGGCTGTTCAGTGGTCTTGCTTTGGGTAGCCTGCTCACGACATGGACGTACATGTTTCAGTACTTCAAGGTCAGCTATCAATCATGGCTGATGTGGCGGAGCTACTACGAACTTGAGCCACATCATAAACACTGGGGATTGTGGTTGAAGGAGACCTCTTTATTTCGGGAGGCATGGGAGACTGTCATTGTAGGCAATGCGAGATACTGGTGGTCACATCAGATATTTTTCTTTGCATTGGGTCTGGGATTATATTTGGAGCAGAAAGGTAAAACGGACTTGATATATTCACGGATAGCAATAACTAATGAACATAGGTATTCGACGTGGGATCAGATATACCTGGGCATTCATGCTGCTTGGCCAGATAGTAGCCATCAGCTTTGCCACAAACCTCTTCTTACTCACCTTGCTTCTAAGCCCACCTACACCTGCTCCGTCGTCGTCATCCGGAGTACGTCGGCCAACATGGCTAGGTCCTTGGCTACTGAACCTCTTTGCCATATTTGCAACAGCGTATCCGGCGATGCAACTGGCCGATGAACATTACTGGCACCATCCCACGCACTTTATGCCGGTGCTTATGGCTCCGCACGTCGCCCTGATGATCTTGCCCATTATCCGCGCCATTGTGCCAGCTGGGTACTTCAACGACGATCCTCAATCTACCGATAAGATCTACAATTTTATGTGGGCATTGGTTCTGGGAAACGCCGGACTAATGCTTGCATGGACAACTGCAAGAGCATATGCCTACGCCGGCTTCGTGGGAATCCAGAGTGCTCTGCTGGAACACCCAGCGGTAAGCAGTGTAGGGTTCGACGTAATCTTCTGCTGGATCACTTGGACCTGCTGGTATTTGACACAACCAAAATCTGGTGATCAACGCGTAGGGCGAATGAACGGGGTGAAGAGCGCGCGTGCTGACGATGGACCGGACACTGCTCTAGGTGCCAGTGGGTATGACGGAGGAGTAAGACGTCGCTAGTGTGGTCGTCGGCCGAGGAATTGGATACACGATGGAGCTATACGTTGTGGGCAAGCGGAGAGGAGTTCGTGTGCTGCGGGTACAAATGGGATGTTAGGAAGGCTTTTACGCCACTATCGCATATGTCGTCTGTAGGCCAGTCAGCATGCCATAGTTGGACAAGGTCTTATAGAGTAGACATGTGGGAGTGCTTTTAGAGACGCCCGCTGTCATGTAAGAGGACATAGAGCTGTAATGGTAGCATACAAATGCCGTATCAGCTGAATTCACCAACTTCCCGTACGCTTCGCATGGGTTGTGTTATTGTGGTTGCGCCCATCGTGTTTACATGCGGAAGGTACTGGCGGATGTGCCGGAAGCAAAATCGACCATCACGAAGGAAGTAATCTGGTTGTAGTCGCGGGTCTCGTAGTTGGTGTAAGGCTGTGAACCTGAAGCCATGGACGATGTCGGCGACTTTGGCAATCGATAAGATTTAGCGCTAACAGAAAGTCCGGTGGCTTAAGGCCAGCCAACCTCCCTGCGTCATCGAAAGCACCTTTCCACTTTTCTACGTTTTCGTATGGTACAGGGATACACAAGCAACCTCAATATTTTGTGCATCAGCACATCACGAGCACTTTCATATGGCATCTCGTACCCCGCTTAATCAGCCTCCCAAATCAGTGCTTACAATACACTTTCATATTGCGGACACCCAGAACCGTAGCCTTTCGCCGCATCTTGCTTTTTTCTACCTGCATGTATGGTACTGAGCTATCGATTTGCTCCTCGTATCAACAGCTGATCCTTGCGCTACATGCACCCTGACGCCCTGTGCGGCTGTGGCAGTTATGGCACTTATGCAAAGCTTATCCGACAGGCTGGGGAAAACTTCGTTCGCTAAAGCGCGGGGTTGATCTATGAGTGCCCCATTTGAGGTGAACGGTCCCTCATCGGGCATGCCGTGCGGCCCTGAATACGGATCTTAGCAGCCGACTGGCAAAAGATCACCATGGGTGTGGCAAAGCTCGCAACGCTACCGGCTAGCGGAACGTCATGGGCTGGCTGGGTGCCGCTATCGTGGTACACATGACCGTTGTGCAGGTGGAACCTTTGGGGGAGCTGCGACGAGGCTGCGCGAATGCGGCGACTACGAAGGATGATCGTGAGTATAAAGCTCGCCTGTGCCGTTGTTGAAGAAATGCACTCACAACACCATCAATCCATTCAACTCATCTCTAATCAACCTCACAAAACCTATCCCTGCGTCAATCGCCTACCAACCTAAGAAACATCAATCAGCATGAAGACCTCATCGATCGCTCTGACCCTTGCGGCAGCTGCCATGGCCAGTGCACAAGAAGAGCCGTACTACAACATCACAACTGCACCTTTCTACCTGGTCGTCACATCAGAGGATGGTGGTGTCAATGACACAATCAGTGCCTGTCACGTTGGTGCAGCGATAGAATCGCTCTGCTTGAGCAATGCTGGAGCGGGCGACGCCCCAGAACCTCTCGCTGGCGCAGAATTCCAATTCAACACATCAATCTACTCTCAGGCACCAGAGCCATCTTTCGGCGTACCTGGCATTCTGACCTGGTGGCTGAACACAAGCACTCTCGACATTCCATCATCAGCGGCCTTTGGCCTTGACCCGACTTCCAATCTCGCAACCTTCACCCTCAGCCCTGGCAGCGATGACGCAACGCAGCTTGCTTTCAACTCTCAGGATGAGTTGACCCTTCAGGCTTATGTTCCGGGCGAGAACTACACAGGCAGCTATCAGGAGTTCTACCGCTGGTATGCGTGCGACACATCCTACTCCAGCTACCAGTACAACAACCTCGTGTGGGGATTGGGTGCAGGCAAGCCGGACAACCCGACGTGTGTCTCAGTCAACGTGACGAGGGTATTTGTTTGATTTGCGAAGAGGGTGACGGGATGGTCATTGGAGGATAAGACCAATGGAAAACTTACGACTTAATGTGCTACGCAGATAATGCTAATCAATAATGAACACTCATTTACATGTATGTCCGTCCCATGTGTACGTCCAGTCAGGTACCAACCATAGTGATGTGACCAAATGTGCCTCTCCAGGAATTGTACAAACTCAGTTACTTTCTTCTCACTCCAAACTACATTCCAGCACTATTAGAACACTTACTCCTCTTCCCATTCTACTCACTCTTGTTCCTTTCTGCCATGCCAATCGCGGCTACGCGGACGAACTCATCTGCTCCATCACTTCCGACCACTTCAACCTCACCCTTGCTTCCGACGGCGCCTCCCTGACTGGCAATACATTTTCCGCATACCCCATCCTAATCGTGACTTTCAACAAGGACAACTTCATGAACGCGCAGGACCCCATTGACTGGGAAGCCGAGAAGTCAGACAGGGGTGAGTACAAAGGGTATTCATGCTGATTGGTCTATCACACGTTTCAGGGGATAGTGTATGCGAGGCGGTATCGGTGACAGGCGTGGGGAAACCTGGTAAGTTTTTGCAGGACTTTTGCTTTTGTTCAGGGACAGTCTGGAACGGTGAGATGTACATGGATTGATTTCGTAATATAGATACACCGAACTGTGTTAAGATTCAGGTCAAGAGCGTAATTCTTGAATTTTCAGGAAACGAAAGTACAAGTACGATTACAGCCTTCAAGAAACGATGAGGGATGAAGGCTTGTCGTCAACATCATTGTGGGAGGAGTTGTTCGCGTCGCGAGTGCAACTGTGGGATTGAGCAAACAAAACATGAAATGCACCAAGATCCATGTTAACACAGGCACTCATTGCAGAATGCACCAGATAATTGCTTCCTACTTCTGCATACTCTGAGCAATTATGCTTCCAAAACGACCTGCGCTGCGCTGTTGAGGCCTGGACGGGTCCTTGCTTGTAGATCCCTTTGCGCTAAGAAAGCAGCATGAAGGGACGCGGGGACGGCTAGAACATCGAGGTAAGCAATGCACATAGTCGGTGCGTTGCATGGCTCAATATGCATGGCTCAATATGCATGTACTCAAGCATGGGATTTGGTTGCTCTCAAGGCTTAAATCGAGTCCTCGAAGCTTAAGCAACTAGCGTGACGCGTGAGGCTGACTTGCGGCGAGCGTCCTTCTCCACCGCGTATCTAATCACTCAGCCTCCTTTTTCACCACCATTGAGATAGTCGAGACCCTTCTCACGACACGGCCCTCGGCAATGTCAATTGCATCGACCCAAGGTCGTCGGGCGCTAATGACGCGTCAATATACCTCACAATGCCGCTCTTGACAGCTATCCGCGCTTCAAACCACCGCAAGCTCGCAGGCCGCGAATACCAGCCCCACTGCAGTCGTACAAACGATGATGCGGCTGCCGTCAGATCGATAGTTTCCGATCAACTTCAAAGGCGTTGCCCAGGACGGATAGGTTTGTCGAGACGGTTGCCTCTAGCTTCCCCGCGCAGATCCGGAGACAACGTGTAGGGCGGTTGGGGAAAGCATGCCGTCATCGTGCTTTCCATCGAGTGTGAGCTAAGACGAGCCACCAACGCAATGGCAATATGGCAGACTGTCTTGGGCATTTTTCTTCAATTATCGCAGCACGCAGCATTGCTTGTTTGTGGACGCTGCATAACAATTGCTAACCAGCACTTCCGTCATTCTTTCGCATCGCATCGTCCTCATGTTTCCTTCTACCTTACTTCTCTTCCCTTTGGTCTTACTCACGAAACCTACAACTGCTCAGTCTTCTTCTCTATCCTCATCAAACACACCTATACCTAGCAGCGATGTTACAGTGATCACCGGCGCTGCCAGCACCTCCACTGGCACCTACTCTGCCAGCTTCTCGAGCGGCTTGCCAGGCATAGTTCTGACTTCGACTGCCTCCGGGCGGCAAAATGCTACCGCCACATCTTCAACGACAACTGAAGAGGTCACGGCTATAGTCGGTCTGCCACCCTCGACTGATTCCGCAAACAGTACCGCGTCAGCGACAACTTCAGCTCGTCCTCGGCCAAGTAATACTCGACCATGCAACGGACACGTCGAGTTCTGCGAACGGAGATTTTCCAACGTTTCGATGGTCGTCGCGCACAATAGCCCGTTCGTGAAACCACACAATGCAGCCAGCAACCAAGTCTATCCAGTGCTTAACCAGCTCAGCGACGGAATCAGAGGGCGTAAGCTACTGATACATGGTAGAGAGGGCATTGGCTGACATTCCATGATAGTGCAGTTCGAGACTCATAAACCCAACGCCTCCTCTGGGATACGTCTCTGCCATACCTCTTGCAACCTGCTCGACGTGGGCACCCTCGAATCATACCTCGCAACGGTCAGAGGCTGGCTCGCTGAACACCCATACGAAGTCATCGCTATCATGATGGGCAACAACAACGGAGATGACACCAAGATACCGGCGACGGACTACGTTGCGCCATTCCAAGATTCAGGAATGATGGAATACCTATGGACCCCACCCTCAGCTACTATGAACCTGACCGATTGGCCTACACTAGCTGAGATGATTATCAAAAACAAGCGCGTGGTAGTGATGCTAGACTACAATGCAGACCAGAGCCAAGTTCCATGGCTCCTCAACGAATGGAACTACCAATGGCAAACGCCGTTCTCTCCTACAAATCCCGCCTTCCCATGCACCGAGCAGCGACCTCCCAACCAAGCTGAAGATGTCTCACGCAACCGCATGTACTTGATGAACCACAACCTCAACATCGAAGTCAGTCTCCCTGGCGTCAGCAGCATTCTCATACCAGCGTACTCGCTCCTCGACCAAGTCAACGCTGTCTCTGGCAATGGCAGTGTTGGGCTCAATGTGCAGAATTGCGAGAAGATGTGGGACAGGCCGCCGAACTGGATACTCGTTGATTATTACAATTTTGGCAATTTTAATGGGAGTGTCTTTCAAGTTGCGGCCACAGCGAACAACGTTACATACAACGACCAGTCGTGTTGTGGTACTGAAGATACTAGTGCCGCACATGCCCTTAGGAGTCAAGGATTCTTTGTGGCTTCGGTGCTTGTTGGGGTGTTTTTGTTGTGGTGAGCTTGGAAGAGTAAAGACTATCGACTTTGACATCTGACCGCTTTCTCTGACTTGCGAAGATTTGAAAAGCGAGGCGCTTCGGGAGTTCGGGTGGCATGTGTCTGACTAAGACACTGCTTTATCAATCAAATAATTACCCTCTCTAGCCTGAACGACCTGCCCAGTATGTTTACCTGCTTGATATCCAACCGACCTACGCTGATGTGCCCGTATTTTGTCTCGTTCTCGTCGGGTACCTCCGTTAATATTGCGGCGCTCCTGGAGAGTGAATTAACCATTTCCGAGCTGTACATCACGGACCACGATGTGTTGCCTTGCCATGACTCCACGCTTGCTCCTATCGAGTACATATACCACAACATCTATAGTTCCTCATTCTATTATGAACTTTGTCTCCAACCAACGCACTGATTCCACCAGCGGCCACCTAAAACTCATACTCGCTCAAAGACGCCATCGCTAAGACCGCCCAACATGCCCTACCTTAGGACTCGCATCCGTAAGCTCCATCGCGAAGCAGAAAAAGACAAGGAAGAAGGCGAATCGATCAACCGATACAACACGGTACGGCTATCCCCACCTCCTGACGACAAACTCATAACGCTCGATTCGGTGCCACGCAACTACAAGTACAAGTTTGAACCGCTGCCGCGCCAAGACGATCCAGTCATCAGAGAAATCCTGGGCCTCATCCGCAGCCTAAATGGTCAAAACATCGAGGTTGCAAATATGCGCTTCCGAGTATCGCCGACCGACGAGTCCTTGCCATTCTGGTTGGCTTTGCCTGATTATACCACCTACTGCAGCAAGCTGTATACCTTCATAGATGACTATCACGAATTTCCACTTACTGGCTGGGTGACCTTCTCTCCTGGACTACCTGGCCCAAATGCAGACAATCTCTGCCTAAAGATAGGTACAAAGTGGGTTTTGCTGAAAGACTGGTTGCTGTCTAGCTACAAGTCTGTCAAAAGGTTATCTGATGGAAGTGGTCTAGTTGGCGAGAAAGGCTACAGGGCGCAGCGCAAATGGTGGAAGCTCAACGGGAAGTACTTCCGTCTTTTCGACCTTCCTGCCGAGGTTCGCATGACGGTCTTCGAATTCGCCCTTGGTCCTCGAATTTACCCCTTGGTTGAACTCAACAATTATTCAGTTCGTCTCGGCATCGGCTTCCCTAACTGGCTCGATAGCAGCCTTATGCAGCGACGCACTTTTCTTCAATTGTCCATGGGTGACTTCCAGAGAGTAACAGGCTGCTCCGCTCACGAGCCTAATATCGCACTGCTGTCTGTCAGCAGGCAAACTCACAGCGAGGCACTCCAGGCTGGCTGGGAGAACACTCGAAAGTGCTTCTTCTCACTCATACATTTCGATTCTATCTTCGATGCGCGCACTAAACCGAAGTACAACTGGCTCAATCACATTATTCTTGACTTTAACATGAGCGATTGGTTCGACTTGCTTAATCTCAAAGACATGCTTGGTCGAGAACCGAGGACCCACTTACACAAGAGCAGCTCCAAGTCTTCCATTACGCTTCTCTCAACACTAGACAAACTATCAACACTACAACTTTGGTTCAGGAGCCCAGATGATGGCGACTCCTGGTATCCTCATGGTATAAAAACAATCGCACACAAAGTTAACAACACGTTGGATGACAGCGATGGCAGGATGATTTGCTGCCAACGTACCATGGTAGACTTGATCATGACCTTCGCCTGGCCTTTTGTCAAGGACCTACGCGCAAAAGTAACTGTAGGCGGGATTCTAAAGGAAGACAGAAAGAAGAAATGGAATGAACGCCTTGCTTTGTCTGCAGAAGACAAGCTTCACGTCATCGATCAGGAGGCCGCGGAGCAGGCTATCTTCAACACACCTCTCGCTAACATGTAAGTTTTTTTTCATCTTCCAAACAGATTTGATCAAAGAATTTGACTGAGAACATGTATAGCGCTTCTTCTTGCTCCTGTCGCACCCCATGCGTGGTTAAACGCTGCAGCAGGGTTGTATCAACGGATGTTTTCGACTGCGAGGACGATAGAGACAGAGGTAACGCAAGCATTAGCGAGGACGTGGAGAAAGTGGAGAGCCAAGAAGAAATTGATGAAAATATAGTTTAAAGGTCTCGTAGATTGTAGATTGGGGGATAATCGTATGTGCGATGCGATGTTCAAATCAACCTTGGTTCGGCTCCCGAGGAAGACGTACGTTTTAGACAACGAGCGAAGCAGGGAGGGTTAGGCTGCTAGAACTATAAGCTAGGAGGGCTTTGAAATAGTCGCGTCACTAGGATGTAGGAGGATAAGACGAACGATGATGAACTCGCAGCAGCTACTGTTAATTTGATGGACGTGCTGGTGATAAGACGCAGGCACAACGCGGTCGAGTTACACTGTGACAGTCTTCAAAGTATTCTTATTTTTTGGAAGTATCAAAGTAGACTATGAAGTATACACATAACGCTCTTAGTCAATCACCAGAGCTCACAAAGCTCATGTATACTCCTTGCAGATACCTGTATCATAGCTCTGAGCATCATTCACACCTAGTACTCTCCTCACTTCTTCGCATCAGCCTTCTCCTGTGCCCTCTTCTCCAACCTCTCCACTTCCTCGTCAATGCGCTTGAAGCTCCAACTCTGATAAAACGGCGGATAAAGGAAAGGCCTGAGATCGAACCGATTGTCGTCCGGTGAGTACGCCTCTGCATGGTAACTCGGCGTCATAGTCGTCATCTTGTGCCGGTTTATCGCATAGTAGTGGAAGAAGCGCTTAACCTTGACCGCAACCTCCCGAGGCGTATAGCCATCAGACCATTCATGCGCAAGGCGGACAAAAGTACCATACGGACCCAGTTTCAACTCTTTGCGACACTTTCCAAAGACACCGAGCTCGGCGTATGTCATGCCCATGTCGACTTCGTCGCTTTGGGCGTAACCTTCGGTGAGGGGTTCGAGTTCGGCGGTTGGTGTTGCGTCGATGAACTCGCCAAGGATGGGCAGGGAGAATTCTTTTTGAGCGTAGCTTATGAAGCGCTTTAGATCGGTTTTGGAAATGCTTCCAATGGGATTTAGATCGGCGCTACTGCAATCGTACTTGGTGAGGTATCCACGTAGACACTCGTCGACGTTGCCTGAGGCAAGGACTAGTAAACTACCTCCGCCTGGGCGCTTCCGAGTCATAGGGAGCATTTGGGCGAAGTAGTAAGAAGATACAAGTCTAGTCCTGGCTTGGATGTTCTGTAGCGCGAGATTCTCCGCTGGCTGACCGCCGTGAGCCCTGAAACGCGGTGTGAAGCCCGTAGCCTTTGTCAAAAGATTCTTCTGGCTGTTGTAGATGTCGTCGATATCCGCTTCAACATGGTGGCATCCAATGTCTTCTGCCAACCTCTTAGCACGGCTCCTTGTTTCCACACTTGACTGCTGCGACATTCCCATGTATACCGTGTGGAGGATGCCGTTACATATTTGCTGCGGGCTCTCAGGTATCCAGTTATCTTTGTCGTGGTAAGGGCCTACAATGCGACGGACATCCGCGAGAACTTGCTCGTTACCATCTTTCACAGCCTCGTAAACCAGTCGACACATGGAGTATACAAGAGTACCTGTAGCGCAGCTGTCGATGCCTCCGCTTAAGGGCAACATGAAGCCAGCTTGACCGGATCGACGAAGATAGTCCCACAGCCAGCATGCAGGTCCCAAAGCGATTTCCTCTTCGGGGGTGTGATAGCGTAGTGTCTGAGCTGGGGTGGGCCGAATGTCTGGGTCAAAGTCTGCATCCGAAGACGATATGCGTAGATTTGCCCTGAAGCGCTCATATCGTGGACCTGACACGGCTTGTAAGCCTCTTGAGGGGCTTGTGCGGTATGACCAAATCTCTTCTAGGTCGATTGTCGCAGTAATCACCTCAACATCCTGCAACGAGAACTGGGTACCCTGTGCGCGGACGGTACCGTTGACGAGTACCATTGCGCTGCCGTCATAGAATAGTCGATCACCATCACATCCTTGCTGGTTAGCGTAAAGGTAGGCACCTCCGCACTTGGCAGTGGCTGACCGAATCAGGTCGAGGCGAGTATCGAGTTTTCGCAGTTCATGATGAGAACCCGAGGAGTTGATGATGATGTCCACGCCGGCTAAAGATAATTGGATATGCGGTGCCTGCGGCGTGAAGAGCTCTTCGCAAGTCTCATACCCGAAAGAACAATCGAGAGCAGATACTATGCCATCTCCGAACGGAACAAAAGATGTCTCTTGTAACGCAAGCGCAGCGGCAGGCAGCTCGTGGAGCTCATATTGCTCCACCTGTTGGGGGCGGTTCCAGGGTATAAAGTATCGTCCTTCTCTGTAATTTCCTTGTCCTGCCAGGCTCATCTTGGGGCGAATCAGCAAGATCTGGCCATTGAGGAACACGATTCTCGCATTATAGAGGTTCCCTGAGTGGCGGACGGGCATGCCGACATCGACGAGAATGTCATCGAGCTCCCTATCTGTTAGGAGTTGGGCGAGAACTTCCCAGTAATGCCTTATGGTGTCTTGTTCAAGAAAGTGGTCCAGCAGGCCATATCCTGGGATTGAAAGCTCTGGCGTAGTCGCATACCTTGCTCCAGCAGATTTTGCGATCTTGACGCTTGCCTGTACGAGGTCAGTATATGTTTCGTGTGTAGTCGGTGGAGGAGATGACCTGCCTTGATCCGCTGAAGATTGCCAGTGAAATCCAGGGCCCATTGGTTCAGGCTGCAGGTCGAAAGTGTCACGAGACGACCCATTGTAGGTTGTGGTCTAATCCGGTCGTGGTTGATGTAGTGGTGGCCAATGTCAGTGGTGGGGAAGTTGGAAAGTGAGTCTGAAAGTGAAGGATTAAGTAAGCAGAGTCTCTCGTGACTTGGTGGTGAATCACAGAGAGTTGAGGCGCTCGCTGCGTGCTTGGCGGGGCAGGCTCGTAGTAGTGGGGGTTGCGCACTAACCAAACGCGCCAAGATCGCTTGGGCTAGTCGCGCGTCTCGCTAGGGTAGGCCTTCAGTCCCATCGGCGCCGTTGTCTGTCGGTGGTACATCCAGGCACTGTGATCGGGTTTTTTTCTCACTCTCGATTTTGTGTGACTCCAGCTCACCATCTCCTTGCATGGCCCTGCGACTGCAAGGCTCGTCTGGGATTTCCGATTGTGCCCTGACTGCGACGACAGCGTTGTGATTTGATTTAGCTCGGACATCGGCTAGAGTGCTCGCCACTTGCCCTGCGTCTGGCGATCCGTCGTGGTTGGTTGGGTTGTCGTGTCTAGAGTCTGCCCAACACACCTCCGGCCGTTGATCTGGCCTGCAGCCGTCGATTAGTGGCTGGCGTGTGCTTGGGTGGGTTCATATGGTCTATCTTTCTCCGCAAAAGGGTCCTGGTATCTACATGCGCAAATGTCGGATTCACACGACCATGCCATTGCCCGCTCTCAGGCCCGGAGGCGACGCAGGATCGATCATGCAGACTTAGCGAGACAAAGGGAGCAGGACTTCTATATACGTATCTCCACGCGCCATACTGAAAGCTACACTCACACCATGCACAGGTACTACCCCCGACCGGGCTCCCATCTACCACAGACAGATGGCCCTGGAAGCCGCCAGGCATCTCCGTCGCCTGGCTCCAAGTCGCAAACGCCTCCGAGTACCCCGCCGCCCTCTCTCGACTATGCTGCTCCACGTGCCTCGGATGATAAAGCCCTGACTGCCTTTGCACAATTGGGCGCTCTGCGCCTGAATGCTCGCCGCTGTCTCATATCCTTCTTCGACCGGAATGACTGCTTCCTCCTCGCTGAGGCTACGCGCACCCTGTCGCTGCAGAGCGGAGAGCCCGAGTTCGAAGACGACCGATTAGCCTTTGGCACCACCATTTTCCCCAAGGAACAGAGTCTCTGTAACTACACCGTAAACCTCGCTCCCAAGTACAGCACGCTGCCTCTCGACGATCCGAGCGACCTGCCTCACCTTGTTGTCAACGACCTCAGCAAAGACAAACGCTTCTGCAACTTTCCCTTCGTCAAAGGCCCGCCTTACTCGCGCTTCTATGCCGGAGTTCCAATTCGCAGCCCAAGCGGTCACAGCATCGGTACATACTGCGTGCTGGACGAGAATCCGCGAAATGGCCTGACGCCGCACCAGCTTGCTTTCTTGAAGAGCATGGCTGGGACAGTAATGCGGCATTTAGAGAGGACTAGGGCAGCAGAAGACCACCGGAGGGCCAAGATCATGGTCAAAAGTCTGGGCTCATTTGCTGAGGGAAAGAGCGGGTTGGAAAATTGGGCACAAGATCCCTGGGACGTGGACACTCAAGTGTCTGGTCTACCAGATGTAATTCTACCGCAACGGCAGCGGCCTGCAGCTACGTCCGATGCTGCGCAGCAACCTGTTGTGCTCAACGGATATGATCATGTAGATCCGGGTATGAAAAACCCGAACGATACCCCGCCTCTAAGTAGTGTGCCACCGAGCATTGCGAACGTGGAGGCATCTGATAGCATGCGGCCAGAAATAACCACCACCACATCGTCCACCTCCACGAAAGGCTTCACCAAGACTGATCAGAAGGACAGGGTAGCCCCGGAACTGAGAGCCCATTTTACACGGGCAGCAAACATGATTGTGGATTCAACCGAGGCCGAGGGAGTGGCATTTTTCGATGCCAAAATCAGTACATTTGGAGGTCTTGTTGACGACGACTTTGATCCAGATCAATTACCAGAGCCGGACAAGCCTTGCGATATCTTAGGGGCGGCTCTTTGCAGGACCGATCGGGATACCAAGCCACTACCCAACACTGGTGAATGCATCTCAGAAAGCGTTCTCAGGCACCTCCTACGACTTTATCCACATGGCCAGATCTTCCATCTCGATGACGACCCTGCATCGCCGTCTGTCAACTCACCATCAACTGGCGTCAGCATCGATGAAGTCGAGTCGGCCGATGGCTTTCCATTCAGTACACCGCGCAAAACTGAATCCACTCGAAGCTTGGACGACGAAGCCTATCTGAGAAGAGTTTTTCCGACTGCTCGAAGTTTGATACTGTATCCCTTGTGGGATCCGCATCGCGAGCGCTGGTTTGCGACGGCTGTCATCTGGAGCTCTGAACCGAAGAGAATCTTTACGACAGAGCAGGAGCTCAGTTACCTGGCGGCCTTCAGTAATTTCGTCATGGCTGAGGTTGCTCGTCTGGACACAAAGCTAGCCGATGCTGCAAAGGCGGATTTCATCTCATCCATCAGCCATGAGCTGCGCTCTCCTCTTCATGGAATACTGGGAATGACTGATCTGTTGAAAGACTCCTCTCTCGACGGTCAGCAGGTGTCCCATTTAGCAACCATCGAGACATGTGGAAAAACTTTACTGGAAACCATCAATCACGTGAGTTGGGATAATCTGCATCAGATACTGCCACTAATTTCATAGGTGCTTGACTTTGCCAAAATCAACAATCTGACACGAGGAGTTTCGAAACGCCAGAAGAAACGTACGCAGAGCGCGAAGCACATGATCAGCCCGGGCCAAGCGCATACCAACGATATCATGACATTGATCAACGACGTCGACATGAGCATACTGACAGAAGACGTGGTCGAGAGTGTCTTCGCTGGCTATACATACGCGAAGACATCTGCTCAGACATACGAGTTAACCACTTCGAAAGTGAACAAACCGCCGATATCCATCATTCTCGACATCAACCACAGCGACAACTACGTCTTCCGCACACAGCCCGGGGCATGGCGGCGAGTCATTATGAACTTGTTCGGAAACAGTTTAAAGTACACGCCTGGCGGATACATCAAGGTCAAGCTTGAGGTTAAGCGAAAACCTGAGGACGACGACGAGTGCGAATTCCGGTTTTCGGTCACTGATTCTGGCATTGGAATGTCGGAGGACTACATCAACAATAGGCTTTTCCACTCTTTTGCACAAGAGAATCCTTTGAGTCAAGGCACGGGTCTGGGTCTGTCTATTGTCAAACAGATCGTCGAATCGCTAGGAGGAGAGGTGGAGGTGCGTAGTGAAAAAGAGCGCGGCACCAAATTCACAGTCACATGTCCTTTGAAGGAGACACGAATGTCACCAAACGTCTGCGCCACCGGCCTAGAAGGAGAGAAGGATTTGCAACTACAGCAAATCACGAAGCGCACAAAAGGCTTGAAAGTGCGATTTGAGGGCTTCCACGAGGAGGAAGAGTTCCGTGTTAGGGATCTGAAGAACAAAACCGCCTCGAAGCTATCGTTGAAGGCACTCGACAGCCTTTGCGATGAGTGGTTCGGCATCGAAAGATGCGAAGACGGCGACAATGCGTCTGAGCCAGACCTGATAATTGCTACCGAGACCTGTGCCAAAGGGTTGCGAACTACGTACAGCCAGAATCCTGGTAAAGTGTCTCCAACCCCCGTTATTGTCATATGTCAGGGTGCGGCAGCTGCGCAATCAACAACGGCTATCACGGTGCCAGGCATAATCTTCGAATGCATAGGTCAACCCGTCGGACCACACAAGATGGCGAAAGCCCTTGCCTCCTGCCTCGACCGCCACGCAAAACGAGCAGAAACACAGCTACAGCCTCACAAGATCGATTCCGTCATTCCCCGCATAACAGAACTGAACCTCACAGAAGAAAGACCAGCATCAGCACCCCGTCGCACCGACCACCTCCACGTGGTAGAATCCTCCCGACCCCAACTCACGAGCATTAGTAGTGCCCCCGAAATCCGGTCCCTCCACAACACCACTCCCCCCAAGGCTTCCAAATACCTCAAACCAACGCGCGCGTTGAGATGTCTCTGCGTAGACGACAATCCCATCAACCTCCGCCTTCTGCGCACTTTTGTCGACAAACTCGGACACCACCACGTCCTTGCCGCCGACGGCCTCGAAGCGCTCGAATCGTATAAAGCCGCTACCGTCGCCAACGACGGCGAAGCTGCAACAGAAGAATCGCGTATTGATGTTGTGTTGATGGATATCAACATGCCTGTCATGGACGGTCTAGAAGCTACACGGCAGATTCGCGCTCATGAGATCCGAAATAACCTACCCAAAGTCACTATCATCGCACTTACCGGTGTGGCCGATACGGATATCCAGCAAGAAGCTAATTCAAGCGGGATCAACCTCTTCTTGATCAAGCCAGTTAGATTAGCAGACTTGGAAGTTATTCTCAAGGGTGTGGTTACGGGACAAGATAAAGCGAATCTAGAGATTGAGGCGGAGAAGGAGAGGCTAAAGTTGGTGGAACAGGAAGCCATCTTCAAGTCTACAGTGGAGAGCGTGGATGAGAAGGCGAGGGGAATCAATGTGGGTGTTGCGGTTGTTCAGGGCGAGGATGAAGTGGTGAAGAAGGTTAAAGTTTGCGAGACACAAACGCAGCAACATAAGAAGAGTGCGTCGATTGTTTGATGCACACACGCCCGCACGCTTCCCAGGAGAATTGGAGGTCTCTTCTTGCTATGACGCTTTTGTGCTAAAAAGAGAAATGGCAGGTCGTTCTAGCGTAGACTGTTCGCAGCGCTCGGATTCCACGGAGGGATATTCGCCCAGGAAGACGTCGACACGTATCTTGTTGCTGATAAACAAGCTCGGTATGGACAAGGAATGAGTGAAGCGAGAGAGAGAAAGAGGGAGAAAGAAAGGAAAATTTACGCATTCTGGCGTACATGAACTGCATCTTGGCAGTTATCTCTTTGGTCTTTCTCCCGGAAGACGAGAGAAGAAAGAAGAAAAATTATGGTCAAGAGCAAGCTTGACGAAAACAACGACGACGAAAAGGGGAGTAGCATGTTCAGGCGATTATACCCTTCTATCTTGCATATTCTTTTCCCAGACTTTTTTGTTTCCTTTTCTGTCGTCTTCTTGTTGTCTTCTTGTCAGTGGCGCAGGGAGATGATGGGTAAGCTGGCTATGGCGATTGGGGCGTCTTTTTTTTCTCTTTTCTTATGAGTGACTAGTTTGGCATGGCATGGCATAGCGTGGCGTTTTTTTTTTTTTTAGACAGATGGGATAGGGTAGGATGGATGGATGTGTGAAGGCATCACGATTCACAATTATGGTATCTGAATGAAATCAATAAACTACTACTATGTTAGCACGCTTAAATGATGCGGATTCCGTTGGCTCGTACACAGGAGCGGTAGGCGTGAGAAGTAGGACGTTTAATGAACCTCTAGAAAGCATCATTCAGACAACAGGTGCATGATTTGGTAGTAGTGTTTAGCCTGCAAAGATGAGTTTTTATTGATATAGTGTGTGCTATGAGATGACATATTCAAGGAAAGTATGAGTAAGTTGTAATACTGCTAATAAATGCATCATCCCATGCTCTTCCATGACACTGACACCATCTCATCCAAGTCCAAACCCAGCCCCCAACCCCAAGATCAATCTTATCCAAAAGCGATGACAACCCTTCACAATTGTTCAGTAATAATCAGGTAAGGGATACCAGCCATTGCAAGCACTACGCAACTAGTTAGACACGGCCATCTCCCTATGCGCTTGCGCTAAAATCTCACCAGCAGCCTCCCCCATGAAGACAAACGCCTCAATTGCGACAACGTGCAACACAAAAACGAACATGCCAATCGTGATGAAGAAGTTCTTGGTGAACAACTTGATAAGGCGGCGTCTGGCCTCCCAGTTGAAGCTCCTCCAGGCATCAAGGAAACCAACGACACCAGTTCCACCCATGATCTTGCTAACGACCTTTCCGCCAAAGGTGCGATCGAAGGGAACGATGGTGTCCTGGTCCTCGGGGAGCAGAGAAGCTTCGATACGGACCAAGGTGACCATGGCAGGGAGGCAGAGGAAAAGTGTGCAGGTGATGGCAAACACAATGACAGCAAGAACCCTCGCGATGAGACCGATCTTGTCTGCACAAGTCTCGATGGAATGGCCCTCGTATCCAAGCTTGTTGAGCTTAAGCAGCATGAATACGCCAGCTGTGAGGTACATGCTGACATAGGGCATAACGGCCTTGAGCGCGGCGGGGACGGCAAGAGTCTTCCAGTGGGCCTTGGAGGGAATACGCCCCCAGAAGAGGCCGTCGGTGGGCATAGCGACAACCTTGTGTGTCCACGCGGCGTGTACGTTGGCGAGAAGGGCAGCGCTAATGGCAGCGCCAACAACAGCTGAACCGGGCATGCCCTGTAGGGCCCCCGAGAAGAACGTTGTAGCCAGGCCAGACAGGAACGAGTAGAAGCAATGAATCTTGAAGCCGCGGAAGCGGGACCAGCGGCCGGCGTGTGCGACAAGGTGGCGGACGGTAGCGCGGATGGACGCTGTGATGGGCTTCGCGTTCACGAGGGTGATTGTCGGACCGGCTTCGAGGAGTGTTTCCTTCTCGTTGGAGTCTTCTTTGTCGTTGGAGGTTTCGTGGGTAACGGTAATAGCGGCTACGGGGGACTCGACCATGCAGAGGGTTACGACGACTTGGTTAAGCATGTAGGAGAACTAATCATATCTTATTAGCAACATGGTCCTGGACATCAGGCAGGAAGATGGGGACCAGGACGTACGAGGCTGATGCCTATGGCGGCAATGAAGATGGTGGCATAGATAGGAACAACCTGCCAGATGCTGATAGACATGTCTCCAGGCCTTGACATTGGTTCAGAACGTCCCAAGGCGCGCTTCACGAACGAAGACGTCTGCGGGTGCGACACGGCGCGACGAGCGAGCTCGACGAGGACCGTCATCTTGTCGATGTCCTCTGTAAAGCCTGTTCCTTAAACTGTCTTAAATATATCGTATATCGAAAGGTCGCGGTCGCTTCGAATGGTAGAAAAGGGTAAAAAGAATAAAACAGAAGACAAGAAGAGTTAACAACAGGTAAAAGGGTGAAGTGACAGGTTGGCGCTGTCACAGCGGCACGGCGTTCAAGACGGACTGCGACCGGCCAAGGAGGCGAAGTCCAGCCCCATTGACGCAACAAGACGGTTGCCTGGTCGCGCACGGTCCATGTGCCGACTTAGCCGCTGATCTATAATTGGCCCCGCCTTGTGTGAATGTGACAGAGAGTGGTTCAAGTAATTCACATTCCGATACATGCAGAAAGCTCTTGGGGGAAGACGTGGGCGTGCTCCTTCACAATAGAGTCTATTGTCTACAGAGAGCATGTTCTGGTGTCACTCGACAAAACTATACCTGAAACCGGTTCGGCCACAATGATGGATGAACCTGTATCCCAACACTCTTAGGCAACCTGCAGAAGATTTGGGGCCAAAGTTGGACGCCTCATCTCTTAATCATCACCCGTGGTCTAATCCATGACATCACGCGTTCAAGTAGACAACAATAAGAAGACAATGTTTCATTATATCAACCGTCAACTACGTGACGAGAAAGAACAACTCCCATGTTACCATGATTACAGTACCGGAACCCCGCCCATGACAGACAGGACAATGTAGAGGGGAAAACAGGAGAAGGCGCTAGACTAGAGACGCGACCAAGAAAAGGCTTTTAAAGGAAGAATGATACACAACGCTGGCCTTGTTTCCAATTTCAGGATGAGCATAAGTCGTCATACGTGAGCATCATGAAGATGTGTGTGCGTGTTAGAGATCGATCGTAGCGTATTCGAGGTTGAGGTGAGTAAGATAATCTGGGAAGATCAAGCTTATAGGGCAGGATGGGCCGCTGCGATCTTCTCGCCCTCAGTCTCGGACTCGTCGGAAGAAGACTCAGCCTCGGCAACGGGTGCGTGGGTGGGAGCTGAGGGGAAAGCCTCCTTCTTGACCTCTGGGGAAGTGGAACGCCCGCGGTACTGGTTGACGGTCTCCTGGGCCTTGGCCGTGGCCTGCTGGGTGTAGCCTTGTACAGTCTTCATGGCGTTTCCGGCGTGCTGGTTAGCAAGACCCTTGACCTGCTGAGCCTGCTGGTTGGCAATGTTGAGACCCTTCTCCAACTGGGCATCGATGACCTCCTTGTTCTGAATGTACACAAGAGGACCGAGGAAGGTGATGAATGTCGAGATCAAGGCCAAGCCCCAGAGCGGGACAAACTTGATGAGGAAGTAGGAGATGAGGGAAGCGAAGAAAGCCTGTAAGGGATAGTCAGCAGCTGTACTCATTGTTAAACCCAAGGGCGTACTCACAGCAACGGTGACGTAGACGTTCTCGGCGAACATGATACGCTGGGACTCGATGACAAAGAAGTTGATGAGCTGCTCGAAGTCGTCCGTCATGCGCTCAAGCGAAGCCTTGGGGATAGTGTAGTACTGGCGGGGCCTGAACTGCGAAGTAAGACCACGTCCGATAGCCACTTGTCCGACAACTTCAGCAGCTGCGGTAAGACCAAGTACCATGTAGGAGGTCTTGAAGATGTAGCGGATCAGATTCAGGTATCGTGCGGCGAAGATGAAGACGACGGTTGCACCAAAAGCGATGCCGGTAGCGCGGGGGTTCTTCCAGCTCAACAGGCGGTAGAACATGCTGTGGTAGTCTGGTATATGTGTTAGCTACGTTGTCGATATGGAACACCAGTGTAGCCCTACGAGTGAGGTTCTGACCAGTCGCGGCCTTGTGCTCGGGAATCGTCTTGGAGTTGGCCAGATCAGCAAACTCGTCGCGGGTCTTTGCGCCCTCTGCCTTGACATTCTGTGCAACGGGGCCTGCAAAGTTTAGCAATGGTCGTGTGCGCATCATTCAGATATCTGCAGGCTGTTAGCTGCGGTCCGGAACACGTAGGGACGAGTCTGTGTACATACCTTACCGTTCATAACGGTCTGCTTGGCGTTCTGCACGCTGGGGTGGTTGTTTGCGGCGTTCATGGCGTTTGAAGCTGCTTTGTGGGTGTCAGTTCAGGAAATCAAGTGTTGTGCGGGCGGCAGATAAGAACTGCGATATATGGCGTTAGCTTGCGTCTCGGTAAGGGTCGAGGGCGTTCTGTCCCACTCACCTCACTCTCTAGAATTCCGTTCTTTGCCTTGATTGCGCTGTTCTGCAAATCACTGTTTGCGCTGCCGTTTACGTGGGAAGGAGAGCCGTCCATCTGGTTTATGAGATCCGGAGTGCCGTTGGGCGTGGCTAGGTCGAAATCGGTTTGTGTGTTGTTAAGCTCAACTCGGGGAGCTCCTGACATCGCTGAGGACTTGGCCGTGGAGGGGTATGATCACGGGTAGATGAGGGCAAGTAGTAGTGTGGGAGTATAGTGACAAGGTGCTGGGGTATGGGAGAGTGTGAGAGGTAGAAGGTGCTGCTATGGTTTTGTGCGGGTACTGTCGTGTGCGCAGCAGTTTGTTGGGCACATTCACCAAAACGTCATGGCTCCACTCCACAATGGCCTGGCCATGATTTGTTTTCCACTGCCACTCACGACGCACTTCTGCACATACAGGTTTCATAGCAAATCGTGTCATTGGCATACATGTGCATCATTCACACAATGCCTGAAACCAAGTT